GTAGATATGATAGAGCCCAGTAGGCTCAGGAATTTGTACACCAGTTGATTGACAGTTGAGAGCCGGGACCAAAGAGCCAGAGCTCAACCCCCACAAGCACAACTAGGTGAGTACACACCTGCCTCATCACCATTCACATCACCTCACCCCTCCTTTTCATCACTTCGCCTGATCTGTTTAGTTTCGACTCAGTTTGGACCACTGAGTAGCACAGTGGTCTTAGTGGCCCAGTCATCTCAGTGGCCCAGTCATCTGAGGGATCCAGTCATCTCAGGGATCCAGTCATCTCAGGGATCCAGTCATCTCAGTTGCCCAGTCATCTCAGGGATCCAGTCATCTCAGGGATCAAAGTCATTTCAGTGGTCTAATCGTCTGAATGGTGGAGTCTAACTCGATGCCACCACCGTGTCTAACCCTCAGGAGAGAGAGAGAGAGTTCCAAACTCTCCTTTCCTGGGAGAGAGTCCCAGGAAAACACCCATCGAAGCCACAAACATTTTTTTTTCAACCATTGTTGCGTTGTTCCGATGCTGCAATTACGTTGTTTGTTGGGAGGAAACGTTGACATTTGCAATAATAATAAAAAAATATTTTATTGATGTCATTTAAAAATATATATATATATAAATATTTCGCTTTTAACTACTGCTATATAACTGTATTTTGAGGGATTAACGACTCCTGAGGGAGGTGTTCATGCCTTCAAGACTTACTGACTCGAAGGCGGCGGCGTTTCCCACGCCCCGGTAGGGGTGGTGGGGTCGTGCCGCTAATGGGGAGGTAAGGGGGAGGGGTAGAAATCAGTGGAGGGGGAGGGGTAATAGGCTGGGGGAGGAGAAGTAAGGGGTGGAAGGGGATGGATGGGGGGGAGAGGGGTGACACGTGTCGTGACCCCCCGCCCTAGCCAGGCCCTGCTGGCCACTACCTGAATAACCAATGAGCTGGACACTCCACCTGAGGCGGCCCACACACACACACGCACGCACGCACACACACACACACACACACACACACACACACACACACACACACACACACACACACACACACACACACACACACACACACACACACACACACACACACACACACACGCTGATGCGGGATCACACACAAAAACATACGTCGAATTCTTTGTATACAACGTCATTTTTATGGCTGTTTTGTGGCAGTTCACCTCAGCCAGTTGCCCAGCAGACTAAAAAGAGAGAGAGAGAGAGAGAGAGAGACGAGGAAGATGCGGACGAGACGAACCATTCCTACCGTCCATCACGATAACATTCACCCTGGGGTAGGAGAACACACATTATAACCTTAACGTGATGAGGGATGTAGGCAGATTTCATGGTAAAGAAAACGGGTGGCTGTTGGTTTGCGGTTCTCCACCCAATATGATCCAACCACCTCTTTAGAAGCCCTGCTACTCCTCTTTGGAACAACCTCCCCCACCTCCAACACCCTCCCCGGAAACCCCCCTTCAACCCCACCCTGGAAACCCCCACCATCCTCTCCAATGGAGGGCTCCGAGGCCACTTAAAATTCGTGACGTAGTAGCTGCTAGGTGCAGCCGGAATTAGTGAAGTATTGAGGAGTGAATAGGGAGGGGGAATTGGGGGAGTGAGATTTGTTGTAAATTTAAGGGAAGACAAGAATAATGTTGCTGTTGTGGTGCACGTGCCTTAGCACGTGCACCACAACAAACATCTTCATGTGCATTAGCACATGAAGATGTTTGTTGTTTCACGTTTGTTTGTTTGTTTCACGATGTTTGTTTGTTTTATAATATATATATATATATATATATATATATATAATTTATAATATATATATATATATATATTTTATATATATATATATATATATATATATATATATATATATATATATATATATATATATATATATATATATATATATATATATATATATATATATATATATATATATATATATATATATATATATATATATATATTCACACACACACACACACACACACACACACACACACACACACACACACACACACACATACACACACACACACACACACACACACACACACACACACACACACACACACACACACACATACATACACACACACACAGAGGATAACACAGTATACACAGAGGATAACATCAGCGGCATATGCCAGGCTGGCCAACATACGAACGGCATTCAGAAACTTGTGTAAAAAATCATACAGAACTTTGTATACCACATATGTCAGGCCAATCCTGGAGTATGCAGCCCCAGCATGGAGTCCATATCTAGTCAAGCATAAGACTAAACTGGAAAAGGTTCAAAGGTTTGCCACCAGACTAGTACCCGAGCTGAGAGGTATGAGCTACGAGGAGAGACTACGGGAATTAAACCTCACTTCGCTGGAAGACAGAAGAGTTAGGGGGGACATGATTACCACATTCAAGATTCTGAAGGGAATGGATAGGGTAGATAAAGACAGGCTATTCAACACAAGGGGCACACGCACAAGGGATCACAGGTGGAAACTGAGTGCCCAAATGAGCCACAGAGATATTAGAAAGAACTTTTTTAGTGTCAGAGTGGTTGACAAATGGAATGCATTAGGAAATAATGTGGTGGAGGCTGACTCCATACACAGTTTCAAGTGTAGATATGATAGAACCCAATAGGCTCAGGAATCTGTACACCTGTTGATTGACGGTTGAGAGGCGGGACCAAAGAACCAAAGCTCAACCCCCGCAAGCACAACTAGGTGAGTACACACACATATAAACTATCTTTCCCACCCCCTCCACCTTCCATTCCCCCATATTTATCTTTATCCAACCATCCGTCCTTCCCATGTCCCCCCCCCCTTCTCACTCCTCTCCTCCCTGTCACCTCCCTCCCAACTCTTCCCCGCATTTTGCCATTCTTCCTCTCCCACCTGCACCCACTCTCTCTCTCTCACCTCATGTCCCCCTATCCTCCCTCTCTCCCCCTCATCATTCCTTATTCTCCATCTATCCTCAATTCACCCTTTCCGCCCTCCTCTCACATCTTCCCTACACACTCCTTTCGTAATTTTTTACTATCTTCATCACCCATAAGCATCTTCACTACTCATTATCTTCAGAACTATTGTTATATTCCCTACTCACTGTTTTCATCACTGTAACCTGAATGAATTCAATTCATCGTATTCCATCAATATTTTTTATATTAACACATTTAGGTATATTTGCATTTGTGCAGCTGCCTAGACTATATGAAGAGGAGTACAGAGTGTGTCAAAAACTAGCTGTTCTAGACTCTATGAGGAGGAGTACAGAGTGTGTCAAGAACTAGTTACGCGATGCTAAAAATCTCCACTACACAAAATGTTTAGCCTTACAGTAGAAATGTTTTCCGTAATTATAAAAAAAAAAAAAAAAAAAAAAAAAAAAAGAATGTGAAATAAACTCTACGGAGATCAGAACCGCTATTTCGTTTAAGACTTCAACGAAAATCGTAGAGCGGTCGGGTTACAGGCTAATATTTCTTAAAGTATTTAACTTAGGCCTACCCCAATTAGCCTATGTCCGTCCCGTACCAAAAACTATTTCTTCCCTATTATGCTGGGCGAGGCTGGCCCCAAACATCCGGCTAGCCAATTACATATATCTCTTAGCGTGGATATTTGTGGAACTCCTTAAAAAAAAAAATAATAATAATTCTGTGTACTGGAATTTCTCAGTTCTGCATGAGTCAACATATGGATGGCAAACACATTCTATTTCTTATACATTACATAGAACCTATATTTATAGTGTCAGTATAGATGCTCCACCTTATGTATTAAGGCAGGCGAATGTGCTCTATACATTATGAAAAGTGTAAATATCCATGCTCTATACCTTTCACTGAGCACATACACACTGCTCTAGACATTACAACTATCAAATATGCTATGTTCTGTGCATTATAGTTAATGTACGCACTAAGCTATATAGATTATAGTGGGCGTATACACTCTGTTCAATACATTTTGACGAGTGTATACACTACACTCTATACATTATGGTGATTATTTTGGACTTTAACGTACGCGATTATACAAGCTGGCGACGTCATACAATATTTCATGGTACCTCCTCTGGGTAATAGTTGGATGAAGAGTTCTTTTATTTTAACTAAAGTCCTGCTAAACCAAAACCTCCCTCCTCGCCAACCATTGCAACTCGTCCTCCTAATTGCACGTAGCATTTTTAATTTATTTAAGGCCAAAAACTGTCGTACTCGAAAATGGTAGCGGCTCGCGAAATTCCCCCAATGTCCCGTTTTTTGTTCGGGGGTCCTGTGGTAGGTTAGGATAAAGGGGGCACTTTAGTACAACAGTTTCCTGACCTTGGGAACGCTGACGGGAATGGGCTGAACCACCACCATCACCACTGTCCCTCACACTACCACCAGTGGTGGTAGTGTGATGCCACCACTGGTGGTAGTGTGATACCGCCAGTGGTGGTAGTGTGACACTACCACCAGTGGTGGTATCACACTACCACCAGTGGTGGTATCACACTACCACCAGTGGCGGTATCACACTACCACCAGTGGTGGTATCACACTACCACCAGTGGTGGGGTCACACTACCACCAGTGGTGGCATCACACTACCACCACTGAGTGAACACTATACGACATCATCCATCACACTTCCAAGTTCCAGGCCAGCACACCATCTGTCTTATTGCCACATAATGAAACGTTTGAACGAACGTTTTCATAAAACAAAATAAAACAAAATCAAACGTAATTTACTCTAACCAAAATGCGTTTGTTGTATATTGTTGTTGTGTCTTTGGCGGTGTTTGTGTTGGGCGAGCCCCAGGGGGACGGCGCGGGGTCACCGGGGGAGGGCGCGGGGTCACCGGGGGACGGCGTGGGGTCACCGGGAACCAGCATGGGCGTGGGGTCACAGGGCGGCAGCATGGGGTCACAGGGCGGCAGCATGGGGTCACAGGGCGGCAGCATGGGGTCACAGGGCGGCAGCATGGGGTTACAGGGCGGCAGCATGGGGTTACAGGGCGGCAGCATGGGGTCACAGGGCGGCAGCATGGGGTCACAGGGCGGCAGCATGGGGTCACAGGGCGGCAGCATGGGGTCACAGGGCGGCAGCATGGGGTCACAGGGCGGCAGCATGGGGTCACAGGGCGGTAGCATGGGGTCACTGGGATATAGCATGGGACCACGAGGGGGTAGCAAGGGCACGAAGCCACAGAAGGGCGGCAAGGACAGGAAGTCACAGAAGGGCGGCAAGGACAGGAAGCCACAGAAGGGCGGCAAGGACAGGAAGCCACAGAAGGGCGGCAAGGACAGGAAGTCACAGAAGGGCGCAGGGCTCCGGAAGGGCGGCAAGGGCAAGGGCACGGAGTTGCAGGGGGTCGGCCAGGGCCTGGAGGGCGGCCAGGCCAAATGGTGCAGAGAGACCGAATGGGGCGGGAAGCTCATATTGTGCAGTACCACCAATTGGGGTGAGGAGTCTACATTGGTCGGGAAGCCTAAGGAGGGAAAGAAGCCTAAGGAGGGAAAGAAGCCCAAGGAGGGAAAGAAGCCCAAGTTGGGAAAGAAGCCCCAGTTGGGAAAGAAACCCCAGTTGGGAAAGAAACCCCAGTTGGGAAAGAAACCCCAGTTGGGAAAGAAACCCCAGTCGGGAAAGAAGCCCCAGTCGGGAAAGAAGCCCAAGGAGGGAAAGAAGCCCAAGGAGGGAAAGAAACCCCAGTTGGGAAAGAAGTCCCAGTTGGGAAAGAAGCCCCAGTCGGGAAAGAAGCCCAAGGAGGGAAAGAAGCCCAAGGAGGGAAAGAAGCCCCAGTTGGGAAAGAAGCCCCAGTTGGGAAAGAAGCCCCAGTTGGGAAAGAAGCCTAAGGAGGGAAAGAAGCCAAAGGAGGGAAAGAAGCCCAAGGAGGGAAAGAAGCCCAAGGAGGGAAAGAAACCCCAGTTGGGAAAGAAGCCCAAGTTGGGAAAGAAGCCCAAGGAGGGAAAGAAGCCCAAGGAGGGAAAGAAACCCCAGTTGGGAAAGAAGCCCCAGTTGGGAAAGAAGCCCCAGTTGGGAAAGAAGCCCCAGTTGGGAAAGAAGCCCCAGTTGGGAAAGAAGCCCAAGGAGGGAAAGAAGCCCAAGGAGGGAAAGAAGCCCAAGGAGGGAAAGAAACCCCAGTTGGGAAAGAAACCCCAGTTGGGAAAGAAGCCCCAGTTGGGAAAGAAGCCCAAGTTGGGAAAGAAGCCCAAGGCGGGAAAGAAGCCCCAGATGGGAAAGAAACCCCAGTTGGGAAAGAAACCCCAGTTGGGAAAGAAGCCCAAGGAGGGAAAGAAGCCCAAGGAGGGAAAGAAGCCCAAGGAGGGAAAGAAACCCCATTTGGGAAAGAAGCCCCAGTTGGGAAAGAAGCCCCAGTTGGGAAAGAAGCCCAAGGAGGGAAAGAAACCCCAGTTGGGAAAGAAGCCCCAGTTGGGAAAGAAGCCCCAGTTGGGAAAGAAGCCCAAGGAGGGAAAGAAGCCCAAGGAGGGAAAGAAACCTCAGACGGGAAAGAAACCTCAGACGGGAAAGAAGCCCCAGTCGGGAAAGAAGCCCCAGTCGGGAAAGAAGCCCCAGTCGGGAAAGAAGCCCCAGTCGGGAAAGAAGCCCCAGTCGGGAAAGAAGCTCCAGCCGGGAAAGAAGCTCCAGTCGGGAAAGAAGCCCCAGTCGGGAAAGAAGCCCCAGTCGGGAAAGAAGCCCCAGTCGGGAAAGAAGCCCCAGTCGGGAAAGAAACCCCAGTCGGGAAAGAAACCCCAGTTGGGAAAGAAACCCCAGTCGGGAAAGAAACCCCAGTCGGGAAAGAAGCCCCAGACGGGAAAGAAGCCCCAGACGGGAAAGAAGCCCCAGACGGGAAAGAAGCCCCAGACGGGAAAGAAGCCCCAGTCGGGAAAGAAGCCCCAGTCGGGAAAGAAGCCCCAGTCGGGAAAGAAGCCCCAGTCGGGAAAGAAGCTCCAGCCGGGAAAGAAGCCCCAGTCGGGAAAGAAGCTCCAGTCGGGAAAGAAGCTCCAGCCGGGAAAGAAGCCCCAGTCGGGAAAGAAGCCCCAGTCGGGAAAGAAGCCCCAGTCGGGAAAGAAGCCCCAGTCGGGAAAGAAGCCCCAGTCGGGAAAGAAGCCCCAGTCGGGAAAGAAGCCCCAGTCGGGAAAGAAGCCCCAGTCGGGAAAGAAACACCAGTTGGGAAAGAAACCCCAGTTGGGAAAGAAGGGTAAGAAGGGAGAAGGAAAGCCGAAGGAAAAAGGAAAGCTGAAGGGGGAGGAGAAGAAGAAGGAGCACAAGAAGGGCCACGGCCTGGACCCCGTGTGCGTGGTGTACATCCCCACGGGGAAGAAGGACCAGCCCCCGGCCACCGCCCTGGTGGTGGAGACAGACCTGCCCGGCCTCCTGAAGCCAGGCTCCACCTTCACCAAGGGCACCAAAGACAAGGGGAAATCTCTCTACGTGGTGTGCAGTAAGGACAAGTTCTGGATGGACTGGGTCTTTGAACCCGGGTTCTGAGCTCCCCCCTTTGGAACCTGAGCTCCATTGGGGACTCAGAGTCTTGGACTATATAGGATCTACCACTCCACGATGACTCTCTGGCGGGATCAATTTGTCTTCTTCACTTAATTTTACTTTTTTTTTGCGTGGGGGTAAATGAGCGTCTTTTCACACTACTACCACCACATTTCTTTTATTGCAGACCTGTAATTGCCCATAACATTCCTGTATATGCAACGAGTCAGAGAGCACAGTATCACTTCAGACTACACAAGGCAACTTGAAGGGGGCACGGGTGGCAGAGGCCATATCTTCTCTATACTCTATCTTACTGTTTGGAGCTCGTAGGTTCGGGGCTCGGAAGTCCACCTCCCGAGGGTCGTGCGGCCCAGGCTCTGCTTCAGGAGGCTGGGGTCGTTCATGCTCTTGTTGGGGTGGTTCTTCTCCGGCCCCGTCCACGGTGGTCACCGAGTTTGGAGATCCTTGAGCTCTCTTTTACAGACTTCGAGGTTAACTCCGGAGCTGGAGCCCCGAGAGCAGTTCGTTGTTGTCTTCAACCTCGTTCTGGCAGTTCCTGCGACGGCGCTGGAACCAATCGCATTGGCGTTTGCCTTTCCATTGGAGACTTTTGGCGCCGTGGAGAAGAGGGGGGGGGGGGGAGGACCGTCTACATAGGTAACAGCTTCTCCCCCATATCAACCTACCCTGGCTTTGCGCCCTGGAGAGGCCACTGCAGACTGACAACCGGAGCGCAACTATATAGTCTTCTATGACTGATGGATCCCTACTACTACTACTGTAACCCTCCTCGCTACACACTATCTTTATTAATGTCGTCACTACACACTATCTTTATTACTGTCTTCACTACACACTATCTTAATTACTGTCTTCACTACACACTGTCTTTATTGCTGTCTTCACTACACACTGTCTTCACTACACACTCTTTTTATTACTGTCTTCACTACACACCATCTTTATTACTGTCTTCACTACACACTATTTTTATTACTGTCTTCACTGCACACTTTCTTTATTACTGTCCTCACTACACACCATCTTTATTACTGTCTTAACTACACACTTGCTTTATTACTATCCTCACTACACACCATCTTTATTACTGTCTTCACTACACACTGTCTTTATTACTGTCTTCACTACACACTATCATTATTAGTGTCTTCACCACACACTATCTATATTGCTGTTTTCACTACACACACTATCTTTATTACTGTCTTCACTACACACACTATCTTTATTACTGTCTTCACTACACACACTATCTTTATTACTGTCTTCACTACACACACTATCTTTATTACTGTCTTCACTACATGCTATCATCATTTGTAACCATCTCAACTACACACTATTTCCCCCCACTAGAACAAACCTAACTAATCACCGCCGTCTTCACTACACACATCCTGCAACACTGTAACTATGGTTAGAGTGATGAGGATGGTCGAGTGTGGTGTTGGCTACAGTGAGGTAAGGTATAGATACTTATCAGGAAAAACCCTATGCAACCGTCGCGCAGGGACCAAAGAGCCAAAGCTCAACCCCCGCAAGCACAATTAGGTGAGTACAGGGAGCCGGTCGGCCGAGCGGACAGCCCGCTGGACTTGTGATCCTGTGGTCCCGGGTTCGATCCCGGGCGCCGGCGAGAAACAATGGGCCGAGTTTTTTTTTCACCCTATGCCACTGTTACCTAGCAGTAAATAGGTACCTAGGTGTTAGTCAGCTGTCACGGGCTGCTTCCTGGGGGTGGAGGCCTGGTCGAGGACCGGGCCGCGGGGACACTAAAAAAGCCCCGAAATCATCTCAAGATAGCCCTTCGCCACCTTTCCTACCTTTCACCACCTTTATAATTACTTACTTTCCATCCCTTCATTACCTTCCCTACCCTTCACCTCCATCCCTACCCTTCACCACCATCCCTACCCTTCACCACCTTCCCTACCCTTCACCACCATCCCTACCCTTCACCACCTTCCCTACCCTTCACCACCATCTCTACTCTTCACCGCCTTCCCTACCCTTCACCACCTTCCCTACCCTTCACCACCCGTATCGTGTTTATCTCGTATCACACCATGTATGATGTGTGTTAGCATACATATTGTGTGCTAGCATGTATCACGTGTCAGTATTTCCTGAATTTGCCTGAAGGCCACTATCTTTCTAGTAGCCTCGAAGGGTACAGGAAACCGGAGGCTTGACACAGGTCCACCATTTTACCTGAGGATTTTGTTGGATTGTGTTTCCCAGTTGGATTTTGACCTGCAGAAAATTTCTTGCCATTTACGATTTCGGCAGGTAGGTGGTTCCATGGGTTTATAAACCTGTGGGAGGAAATGCATCTCAATATTCTCTATGCAGCATTACGGCTTCTTGAACCCTTTCCTGTGTTGCAACTGACCTTCCAAAAAGTGACGTGGATTAATATCCTTCAAATTGCTCAAGATTTTTTTTGCCTTTTTAACTACAGCTTCCACTTGTTGTGCAACTGTCAATAACTGATGGAGTTTGACTCTAAGGGTCACTTTCTTCAGCACCATGCTGCAAGGTAATTTTGATTTGGTATTTGTGATGGGCACTGCTATGCCCCATATGACGTTCCGTTTAAATGGTAGCTACACAACCACCCCCCCCCTTCCCCTCCCCCTCAGGTAGCAAATGTTTCAGCCTATCCGAGTAATTTGAGTAATTAAAAGGTTAAGTTTGCAGTTTGTTCTCGAATTAATTTCTGCTCAGTTTCAACAAATACTTCACTTTTGAGGTGCAGCATTGTATTGGAATTAGAGAGGCCAATCAGCTTACTGATTGGGCGGCACCGGCCCACCGGGACCTTTACTAGGTTGTTGTTGTTTTACATTCAGCTACTTAGAACAAAAGTTCCAAAGTAGCACGGGCTATGGTGAGCCCGTAGTGGACTTACCAGGCACAGGAGCCCTTCTTTACTAGGTGTTTCGGTAGCCCTTTATACTCACCTAGTTATGCTTGCGGGGGTTGAGCTTTCTTTGGTTCCGCCTTCACCACCTATGCGGCCCTGACAGTGCTACTGTTGATGTGGCAATAATGATCACTGTAGTTGTCATGCAAGGCAACTGGTCGGGGTCACAACCCCACAGTCTCCTGGGAGTGATGGATGCCCTACTGGTTGTCACACAACCATCATCTTTTTTGTTGTTGTCACAATACACTCACTGCCTTCCTGCTCACTACCACCACCTCTGTCCCTCACACTACCACCACCACCATCCATCACACTACCACCACCACCATCCATCACACTACCACCACCACCATCCCTCACACTACCACCACCATCACCATCCCTCACAATACCACCACCACCATCCCTCACACTACCACCACCACCACCGTCCCTCACACTACCACCACCACCATCCTTCACACTACCACCACCACCACCATCCCTAACACTACCACCACCACCACAACCCCTCACACTACCATTACCACCGTCCCCCACACTACCACCACCACCATCCCTCACACTACCACCACCACTATCCCTCACACTACCATTACCACCGTCCCCCACACTACCACCACCACCATCCCTCACACTACCACCACCACCATCCCTCACACTACCACCACCACCATCCCTCACACTACCACCACCACCACCACCACCACCACCACCGTCCCTCACACTACCACCACCACCATCCCTCACACTACCATTACCTTCATCTCACATCTCATCATTTAAAAACACTTTTTACTGACAATCCATACACAATAAACTTTAGTTTTTAAATAAAAACCAATAAAAGTTAATTACAATGGGTCTAGTGCAGCTGTGTATCGGTGTGTTGGTGGCGGCGCTGGTGTCGGGGCGCCCGCAGACTGTCGGCGGGCTGGACACGGGCGGCGGGCTGGACACGGGCGGCGGGCTGGACACGGGCGGCGGGCTGGACGCGGGCGGCGGGCTGGACGCGGGCGGCGGGCTGGACGCGGGCGGCGGGCTTGACGCGGGCGGCGGGCTGGACGCGGGCGGCGGGCTGGACGCGGGCGGCGGGCTGGACGCGGGCGGCGGGCAGTACACGGGCGGCGGGCAGTACACGGGCGGCGGGCAGTACACGGGCGGCGGGCAGTACACGGGCGGCGGGCAGTACACGGGCGGCGGGCAGTACACGGGCGGCGGGCAGTACACGGGCGGCGGGCCGGACACGGGCGGCGGGCCGGACACGGGCGGCGGGCCGGACACGGGCGGCGGGCCGGACACGGGCGGCGGGCCGGACACGGGCGGCGGGCCGGACACGGGCGGCGGGCCGGACACGGGCGGCGGGCCGGACACGGGCGGCGGGCCGGACACGGGCGGCGGGCCGGACACGGGCGGCGGGCCGGACACGGGCGGCGGGCCGGACACGGGCGGCGTGCCGGACACGGGCGGCGGGCCGGACACGGGCGGCGGGCCGGACACGGGCGGCGGGCAGTACACGGGCGGCGGGAAGAAAATTGTCGGCGGATTGGGAATTGTCGGCATGGGGGCTGGGAAAGCCATGTGGGGTGGGAAAGGCATAGGAAGCGGGGCAGGCATGGGGGGCGGGGCAGGCATGGGGGGCGGGGCAGGCATGGTTGGCGGGAAAGACATGGTTGGCGGGAAAGACGTGGTCGGCGGGAAAGACGTGGGCGGCGGGAAAGACGTGGTCGGCGGGAAAGACGTGGTCGGCGGGAAAGACGTGGTCGGCGGGAAAGACGTGGTCGGCGGGAAAGACGTGGTCGGCGGGAAAGAAAAGGGCGGCGGGAAAGGCAAGGGCGGCGGAAAAGAGGTGGTCGGCGGGAAAGGCAAGGGCGGCGGGAAAGGCAAGGGCGGCGGGAAAGGCAAGAGCGGCGGGAAAGGCAAGGGCGGCGGGAAAGGCAAAGGCGGTGGGAAAGGCAAGGGCGGCGGGAAAGACGTGATCGGCGGGAAAGGCAAGGGCGGCGGGAAAGGCATAGTCGGCGGGAAAGGCAAGGGCGGCGGGAAAGGCAAGGTCGGCGGGAAAGGCAAGGGCGGCGGAAAAGAAGTGGTCGGCGGGAAAGAGGTGGTCGGCGGGAAAGAGGTGGTCGGCGGGAAAGGCAAGGGCGGCGGGAAAGGCAAGGGCGGCGGGAAAGGCAAGGGCGGCGGGAAAGGCAAGGGCGGCGGGAAAGAAGTGGTCGGCGGGAAAGAAGTGGTCGGCGGGAAAGAAGTGGTCGACGGGAAAGAAGTGGTCGACGGGAAAGAAGTGGTCGGCGGGAAAGAAGTGGTCGGCGGGAAAGAAGTGGTCGGCGGGAAAGAAGTGGTCGGCGGGAAAGAAGTGGATGGCGGGAAAGAAGTGGTCGTCAGGAAAGAAGTGGATGGCGGGAAAGGCGTGGTCGGCGGGAAAGGCGTGAAAGAAGTGGTCGTCGGGAAAGAAGTGGATGGCGGGAAAGAAGTGGATGGCGGGAAAGGCGTGGTTGGCGGGAAAGAAGTGGTCGGCGGGAAAGAAGTGGTCGGCGGGAAAGGCAAGGGCGGCAGGAAAGGCAAGGGCGGCAGGAAAGGCAAGGTCGGCAGGAAAGGCAAGGGCGGCAGGAAAGGCAAGGGCGGCAGGAAAGGCAAGGGCGGCGGGAAAGGCAAGGGCGGCGGGAAAGGCAAGGGCGGCGGGAAAGGCAAGGGCGGCGGGAAAGGCAAGGGCGGCGGGAAAGAAGTGGTCGTCAGGAAAGAAGTGGTCGTCGGGAAAGAAGTGGATGGCGGGAAAGAAGTGGTCGGCGGGAAAGAAGTGGTCGTCGGGAAAGAAGTGGTCGGCGGGAAAGGCGTGGTCGGCGGGAAAGGCGTGAAAGAAGTGGTCGTCGGGAAAGAAGTGGATGGCGGGAAAGAAGTGGATGGCGGGAAAGGCGTGGTCGGCGGGAAAGAAGTGGTCGTCAGGAAAGAAGTGGATGGCGGGAAAGAAGTGGATGGCGGGAAAGAAGTGGTCGTCAGGAAAGAAGTGGTCGTCGGGAAAGAAGTGGATGGCGGGAAAGAAGTGGATGGCGGGAAAGAAGTGGATGGCGGGAAAGAAGTGGTCGTCAGGAAAGAAGTGGATGGCGGGAAAGGCGTGGTCGGCGGGAAAGGCGTGAAAGAAGTGGTCGTCGGGAAAGAAGTGGATGGCGGGAAAGAAGTGGATGGCGGGAAAGGCGTGGTCGGCGGGAAAGAAGTGGTCGTCAGGAAAGAAGTGGTCGTCGAGAAAGAAGTGGATGGCGGGAAAGGCGTGGTCGGCGGGAAAGGCGTGGTCGGCGGGAAAGGCGTGGTCGGCGGGAAAGGCGTGGTCGGCGGGAAAGGCGTGGTCGGCGGGAAAGTCACGGAGGGCGGGAAAGTCACGGAGGGCGGGATAGGCATAAAGGGGAGGACGATAGAGGCTCGGCCTGTGTATGTTGTGTGTGCGGTGTTCGTCCCCACGGTGGAGGGGGAAGCCCCCGCCGCTGTCATGATGTACGCGGACGACGTGGAGCGCCTCACCCAGCCAGGCGCCATCTTCGAGAAGGTGTCCGATGACCACCTGGGACGCAGCCTCCACATCGAGTGTCCTACAGAAAGGTTCTGGATAGCCAGGATCCCAGGTCGCATCTGAGCTCCCAGGACCTGAGCGTCGACGGGAATTCTGGGATCATATTGTTTTTTTTTGTCTTTCATAACGACAAGGATGAATGGCATAACACGTCCCGCTCCGTGTTTTATTTTTTTGGGCGTTATTGACATGATCACTAATGGAAAGCAATTATATCTCATTATTACTGTGACTTCTCTAATTATCAGTATGTAACTTTTGCCTTCGGCTCTTCTGCTCAGCCTCCAAGCACATGCAGGTGATTCCAGATCAACAAGAGACTGAGTTGCAACTGCCTTCAACCTGCAGATCTTCTAACAACACTTCCAGAGTAAACTTTGAATAATACTACCCTGAGAAGGGTAGTACCAGTACTTTACACTACCAGTTAATTGACGGTTGAGAGGCGGAGCACAACTAGGGGAGTATCAATCAGGTGAGTACTAGAAGCCACCAACGCTTCTCTCTCTACCGCAACACCTTACAACCACCACCATCCCTCCCGATATAACTAGCAATGTTCCCTACACCACCACCATCCCTCTCGATATAACTAGCAATGTTCCCTACACCACCACCATCCCTCTTGATATAACTAGCAATGTTCCCTACACCACAACCAACCCCCCTTTCAATTACAATACCACCACCATCACACTGAGATTTACAATGGTAGTCTACCAGTGATCTACATACCCCCCCCCCCCCCCTTCATCCACCGTCTCCTCACAACCCCGTCCCTCACCCTACAACGCTACCACCACCACCACAATCCTTTAGACTACCAGCACCACCATCCCTCAAATTACCACCACTCCTGTCCCCCTCACACTATCACCACCATCCCTCCCACTCTCACCACCACCTTTCCTCATTCTACCACCATCTGACTTCTCGTCAATTAAAGATACTTCTTACTGTTCTTGTTTAATACAAAATATTAACAAAATCAAAAGTTGAAACAATGCGTTGTTTGCTTCTGGTATTCTTGAATTGGATCTTGTTGGCGGGGCTGGTGCCGCAGGTGGAGTCGGGGAACGGGGGCGGGATAGGATATAAATTCCGGGATGAAGACATGGAGGGCGGGCAAGACATGGAGGGCGGGCAAGACATGGGGGGCGGGCAAGACATGGAGGGCGGGCAAGACATGGAGGGCGGGCAAGACATGGAGGGCGGGCAAGACATGGAGGGCGAGGACATTACGAGGGGGGCAGAGCAACGAGTTGTACACGCTCCTGGGACTCAGTTTCACAGTCCCAAGGGGGGCAGGAAAGCCAAGAGGGGCGGGAGAGGCAAGGGGGGCGAGACAGGCATGGGGAGCGAGACAGGCATGGGGGGCCAGACAGGCTTGGGGGGCCAGACAGGCATGGGTGACTGGCCAGGCATGGGTGACTGGCCAGGCATGGGGGGCTGGCCAGGCATGGGGGGCCAACTAGAGCCAGGCATGAATGCCAAGATAGGCAGGTGGATCGATGGAGGCGGGGGGTACAAAACACAACTTTGGTATGACGAGACAGGCAAGGAGGGCGAGACAGGCAAGGGGGCCGAGACAGGCAAGGGGGCCGAGACAGGCAAGGGGGGCGAGACAGGCAAGGGGGCCGAGACAGGCAAGGGGGCCGAGACAGGCAAGGGGGCCGAGACAGGCAAGGGGGCCGAGACAGGCAAGGGGGCCGAGACAGTCAAGGGGGCCGAGACAGTCAAGGGGGGCAAGAACGACACGGAGGGCGGGATAGGCATAAAGGGGAGGACGAGAGAGGCTCGGCCCTCGTATGATGTGTGTGCGGTGTTCGTCCCCACGGTGGAGGGGGAAGCCCCCGCCACCGCCTTGATGTCCGAGGGCGACGTGGAGCGCCTCATCGAGCCAGGCGCCATCTTCGAGAAGGTGTCCGATGACCACCTGGGACGCAGCCTCCACGTCGAGTGTCCTACACAAAGGTTCTGGATGGCCAGGATCCCAGGTCGCAGGTGAGCTCCCAGGACCTGAGCGTCGACGGGGTTCTACAGCACCGACCGGGTTCTTCAGCTCTGATCGACCGCCCACTGAAAGTGCTATAACAGGATCATTTTATCATGTTCTTTTTTTTTGGTGGGACCCAGCCGCCAAATCAAGGCGGTAGCTTCCCCCACCACCGCCGTATTGCTTGGCGCTTTTCAATAATAATTCCCTTCCCCCTCCACCATACGTAGGCCGAGCCTCTCTCGTCCACCCATTTATGCCTGTCCCGCCCTCGTTGCCTGTCTCGGCCCCCCCTTCACACTTCCACCTCCAACGTCCCTCACACTACCACTATCGTTCCTCACACTACACTATTCCTTAGGGACACTTATACAACCACAGTCCCACACAGTACCACCATTATTCCTTACAATATCAGCACCGCGTCTCACAGTGCCACCACCTCCACACTTCCTAATTGCAATTATGAAGATCCGCTGCTAGCCGGACGAGTGGGAGGTCTTCTTTATGTTTACAATTGTTGCAGTACATATTCCGGTCATTGAATATCCGGTTGAATTCTTCACACACCTCCTTGTCATTCTCTGTGTATCTGTTCTCCCCTTTTTGCAGCTTCATCACTTGTTCCTTCACTGCTGTTTTCCTCCTGATGTGGCTGTGGAGCAGCTTTGGTTGGGTCTTGGCTTTACTCACTATGTCATTTTCAAACTGTTTCTCTGCCTTCCTCCTCACTCTGAGGTACTCATTTCTGGCCCTCTGGTATCTCTCCCTGCTCTCCGGTGTTCTGTTATTTCTGTAGTTTCTCCATGTTCTTTTACTCAGTTGCTTCGCTACCTTGCATTCCTGGTTGAACCATGGGTTTTTCTGTTGTTTTTCGTTTTTCTTCTTTTGGACGGGGATAAACGTGTGTGCAGCTTCCTGGCACTTTTGGGTGACAAAATCCATCATGTCCCATCATGTTCGTGTGTTGCTGCTACTTCGTCAGTCGCGTTACGCGTGAGGATGCAAGGTACTCTGTGTCTACACCAGGCTGTCACCTATTGTATAAGGCATGCTGAATCTGTGTTAAACCAGGGAGCCGGTCGGCCGAGCGGACAGCACACTGGACTTATGATCCTGTGGTCCCGGGTTCGATCTCGGGCGCCGGCGAGAAACAATGGGCAAAAGTTTCTTTCACCCTATGCCCCTGTTAGCAGTAAAAATAGGTACTTGGGTGTTAGTCAGCTGTCACGGGCAGCTTCCTGGGGGTGAAGGCCTGGTCGAGGACCGGGCCGCGGGGACACTAAAGCCCCGAAATCATCTCAAGATAACCAGCCGACTGTTTTATAAACAATGCTGAATCTGCGCCCGCCAGACCACCTGTGATATATGTGAGGCTGCGTTTGCGTCATTCCAGCCGCCGGTTATAAAGGAGAAGGTGCGTCTGCGTCCATCCTGCTGCCTGTGAAGCTACACATGAGGTTGTATGAATGTCATAACTCATCTCGTTCCGTTTTTTTTTGGGCGTCAGCGACATTTTCAGAGTTAATTTTCTCTCAGTGGAAAGCAATTCTTTCTCATTATATCTGTGACTCCTTTAATGGATAGAAGTACGCCGCTCCTCACGCTATGGCCGCCGCCCCACTCATTACCACCGCCAACAGTCATTCATATTACCACGACCACCGTCCCTGACACTGTCACCATCTGACTTCCAGTCATTAGAAAAATAGAGTTTGTTGATGAAATGAAATTAAATAAATAAAACCTAAATCCATTAATCCCAATGCGTTTGTTGCACTTGTTTGTCATTGTGTTGGCGGTGGTAGTGTTAGGGGAGAGCGGGAAGGCGCAGGAGGGCGGGAAGGCGCAGGAGGGCGGGAAGGCGCAGGAGGGCGGGAAGGCGCAGGAGGGCGGGAAGGCGCAGGAGGGCGGGAAGGCGCAGGAGGGCGGGAAGCCCGAGAAAGCTTCACAGCAAGAGGATGTGGTGTGTGGGGTGTTCATCCCCTCGGGGGAAAATGATCCCCCCGCCACCGGCCTGGTATCCGAGGAGGACCTGACTCGCCTCCTCAAGCCAGGTTCCACCTTCGAGAAGGTGTCTGAGGATGATCACCTGGGACATGCCTTCCGCGTCGAGTGCCCTAGGAAGAGGTTCTGGGTGGCCATGGTTCCTGAACCTCAGTTCTGAGCTCTCACTGGAGCGCGATGTCCTCGGGGCTCTGAGCTCCGCCAGGGAGTGTAATCGAGCACTCACTGCGGATGTCGAGGCGGGATATTAGTATATTTACTTTTTTTTTTTGGTCTGACATTTCCTATATGACCAATATTACCACAACTATCGCATATACTGCCACCACTGTCTCCTCACACTACCACCACTGTCTCCTCACACTACCACCACTGTCTCCTCACACTACCACCACTGTCTCCTCACACTACCACCACTGTCTCCTCACACTACCACCACTGTCTCCTCACACTACCACTACCACCGTCCCTCACACTACCACCACTGTCTCCTCACACTACCACTATCACCGTCCCTCACACTACCACCACTGTCTCTTCACACTACCACCACTGTCTCCTCACACTACCACCACTGTCTCCTCACACTACCACCACTGTCTCCTCACACTACCACCACTGTCTCCTCACACTACCACCACTGTCTCCTCACACTACCACCACTGTCTCCTCACACTACCACCACTGTCTCCTCACACTACCACCACTGTCTCCTCACACTACCACCACCGTCCCTCACACTACCACCACTGTCTCCTCACACTACCACCACTGTCTCCTCACACTACCACCACCGTCCCTCACACTACCACCACTGTCTCTTCACACTACCACCACGGTCTCCTCACACTACCACTACCACCGTCCCTCACACTACCACCACTGTCTCCTCACACTACCACCACTGTCTCCTCACACAACCACCACTGTCTCCTCACACTACCACCACTGTCTCCTCACACTACCACCACTGTCTCCTCACACTACCACCACTGTCTCCTCACACTACCACCACTGTCTCCTCACACTACCACCACTGTCTCCTCTCACTACCACTACCACCGTCCCTCACACTACCACCACTGTCTCCTCACACTACCACTATCACCGTCCCTCACACTACCACCACTGTCTCTTCACACTACCACCACTGTCTCCTCACACTACCACCACTGTCTCCTCACACTACCACCACTGTCTCCTCACACTACCACCACTGTCTCCTCACACTACCACCACTGTCTCCTCACACTACCACCACTGTCTCCTCACACTACCACCACTGTCTCCTCACACTACCACCACTGTCTCCTCACACTACCACCACCGTCCCTGACACTACCACCACTGTCTCCTCACACTACCACCACTGTCTCCTCACACTACCACCACCGTCCCTCACACTACCACCACTGTCTCTTCACACTACCACCACTGTCTCCTCACACTACCACTACCACCGTCCCTCACACTACCACCACTGTCTCCTCACACTACCACTATCACCGTCCCTCACACTACCACCACTGTCTCTTCACACTACCACCACTGTCTCCTCACACTACCACCACTGTCTCCTCACACTACCACCACTGTCTCCTCACACTACCACCACTGTCTCCTCACACTACCACCACTGTCTCCTCACACTACCACCACTGTCTCCTCACACTACCACCACTGTCTCCTCACACTACCACCACCGTCCCTCACACTACCACCACTGTCTCTTCACACTACCACCACTGTCTCCTCACACTACCACTACCACCGTCCCTCACACTACCACCACTGTCTCCTCACACTACCACTATCACCGTCCCTCACACTACCACCACTGTCTCTTCACACTACCACCACTGTCTCCTCACACTGCCACTACCACCATCCCTCACACTACTACCACTGTCTCCTCACACTACCATCACCACCGTCCCTCACACTACCACCACCACCGTCCCTGACACTACCACCACCACCGTCCCTCACACTACCACCACCACCGTAACTCACACTACAACCACCACCGTCCCTCACACTACCACCACCACCCTCCCTCACACAACCACCACCACCATCCCTCACACTACCACCACCACCACCGTCCCTCACACTACCACCACTGTCTCCTCACACTACCACCACCATCCCTCACACTACCACCACCACCGTTCCTGACACTACAACCACCACCGTCCCTCACACTACCACCACCACCATCCCTCACACTACCACCAACACCATCCCTCACACTACCACCACCACCGTCCCTCACACTACCACCACCACCATACCTCACACTACCACCACCACCATCCCTCACACTACCACCACCACCACCGTCCCTCACACTACCACCACTGTCTCCTCACACTACCACCACCATCCCTCACACTACCACCACCACTGTTCCTGACACTACAACCACCACCATCCCCCACACTACCACCACCACCATCCCTCACACTACCACCACCACCACCGTCCCTCACACTACCACCACCACCACCGTCCCTCACACTACCACCACCACCACCGTCCCTCACACTACAACCACCACCATCCCTCACACTACCACCACCACCGTCCCTCACACTACCACCACCACCATCCCTCACACTACCACCACCACCGTCCCTCACACTACCACCACCACCATCCCTCACACTACTACCACCACCACCATCCCTCACACTACCACCACCACCGTCCCTCACACTACCACCACCACCATCCCTCACACTACTACTACCTCCATCTCACATCTTATCATTTAAAACACTTTTTACTGACTTGCTGTACGAAATAAACTGTATTTGTTAATAAAACAAATAAAAGTTAATTACAATGGGTCTGGTGCAGCTGTGCGTCGTTGTGTTGGTGGCGGCGCTGGTGTGGGGGCGCCCGGAGGCTGTCGGCGGGCAGGTCACGGGCGGCGGGCTGGACACGGGCGGCGGGAAGGACACGGGCGGCGGGCAGGTCACGGGCGGCGGGCTGGTCACGGGCGGCGGGCTGGTCACGGGCGGCGGGCAGGACACGGGCGGCGGGCAGGACACGGGCGGCGGGCAGGTCACGGGCGGCGGGCAGGTCACGGGCGGCGCGAAGGACACGGGCGGCGAGAAGGACACGGGCAGCGGGAAGGACACGGGGGCCGGGAAGGACACGGGCAGCGGGAAGGACACGGGCAGCGGGAAGGACACGGGCGGCGGGCAGGTCACGGGCGGCGGGAAGGACACGGGGGCCGGGAAAGACACGGGGGCCGGGAAAGACACGGGGGCCGGGAAAGACAAAGACACGGGGGTCGGGAAAGACAAAGACACGGGGGTCGGGAAAGACAAAGACAAGGGGGTCGGGAAAGACAAAGACACGGGCGTCGGGAAAGACACGGGGGTCGGGAAAGACAAAGACACGGGCGTCGGGAAAGACACGGGGGTCGGGAAAGACAAGGGCGTCGGGAAAGACACGGGGATCGGGAAAGACACGGAGGTCGGGAAAGACACGGGGGTCGGGAAAGACACGGGGGTCGGGAAAGACACGGGGGCCGGGAAAGACAAAGACAAGGGCGCCGGGAAAGACACGGGGGCCGGGAAAGACAAAGACACGGGGGCCGGGAAAGACAAAGACACGGGGGCCGGGAAAGACAAAGACACGGGGGCCGGGAAAGACAAAGACACGGGGGCCGGGAAAGACAAAGACAAGGGCGCCGTGAAAGACAAAGACAAGGGCGCCGGGAAAGACAAAGACAAGGGCGTCGGGAAAGACAAAGACAAGGGCGTCGTGAAAGACAAAGACACGGGGGTCGGGAAAGACACAGGTGCCGCGAAAGACAAAGACATGGGGGTCGGGAAAGACAAAGACACGGACGCCGGGAAAGACACGGGCGTCGGGAAAGACAAAGACAAGGGCGCCGGGAAAGACAAGGGCGCCGGGAAAGACAAAGACACGGACGCCGGGAAAGACACGGGCGTCGGGAAAGACAAAGACAAGGGCGCCGGGAAAGACAAAGACACGGGCGCCGGGAAAGACAAGGGCGCCGGGAAAGACAAAGACACGGACGCCGGGAAAGACAAAGACACGGACGCCGAGAAAGACAAAGACACGGACGCCGGGAAAGACAAAGACAAGGGCGTCGGGAAAGACAAAGACACGGGGGTCGGGAAAGACACAGGTGCCGCGAAAGACAAAGACATGGGGGTCGGGAAAGACAAAGACACGGGGGTCGGGAAAGACAAAGACACGGGGGTCGGGAAAGACAAAGACACGGGGGTCGGGAAAGACACAGGTGCCGCGAAAGACAAAGACAAGGGGGTCGGGAAAGACAAAGACACGGGGGTCGGGAAAGACAAAGACACGGGCGTCGGGAAAGACAAGGGCGTCGGGAAAGACAAGGGCGTCGGGAAAGACACGGGCGTCGGGAAAGACACGGGCGTCGGGAAAGACACGGGGGTCGGGAAAGACACGGGGGTCGGGAAAGACACGGGGGCCGGGAAAGACAAAGACACGGGCGTCGGGAAAGACACGGGCGTCGGGAAAGACACGGGCGTCGGGAAAGACACGGGGGTCGGGAAAGACAAAGACTCGGGCGTCGGGAAAGACACGGGCGTCGGGAAAGACACGGGCGTCGGGAAAGACACGGGGGTCGGGAAAGACACGGGGGTCGGGAAAGACACGGGGGCCGGGAAAGACAAAGACACGGGGGCCGGGAAAGACAAAGACACGGAGGCCGGGAAAGACAAAGACAAGGGCGCCGGGAAAGACAAAGACAAGGGCGCCGGGAAAGACAAAGACAAGGGCGCCGGGAAAGACAAAGACAAGGGCGTCGGGAAAGACAAAGACACGGGTGCCGGGAAAGACAAGGGCGCCGGGAAAGACAAAGACACGGACGCCGGGAAAGACACGGGCGTCGGGAAAGACAAAGACAAGGGCGCCGGGAAAGACAAAGACACGGGCCCCGGGAAAGACAAAGACAAGGGCGTCGGGAAAGACAAAGACACGAACGCCGGGAAAGACACGGGCGTCGGGAAAGACAAAGACACGGAGGCCGGGAAAGACAAGGGCGCCGGGAAAGACAAAGACAAGGGCGCCGGGAAAGACAAAGACAAGGGCGCCGGGAAAGACAAAGACAAGGGCGTCGGGAAAGACAAAGACACGGGGGTCGGGAAAGACAAAGACACGGGGGTCGGGAAAGACACAGGTGCCGCGAAAGACAAAGACACGGGGGTCGGGAAAGACAAAGACACGGGGTTGGGAAAGACACAGGTGCCGCGAAAGACAAAGACACGGGCGCCGGGAAAGACAAAGACACGGGCGCCGGGAAAGACAAAGACACGGACGCCGGGAAAGACACGGGCGTCGGGAAAGACAAAGACAAGGGCGCCGGGAAAGACAAAGACACGGGCCCCGGGAAAGACAAAGACAAGGGCGTCGGGAAAGACAAAGACACGGACGCCGGGAAAGACACGGGCGTCGGGAAAGACAAAGACACGGAGGCCGGAAAAGACAAAGACAAGGGCGCCGGGAAAGACAAAGACAAGGGCGCCACGAAAGACAAAGACAAGGGCGTCGGGAAAGACAAAGACACGGGAGTCGGGAAAGACAAAGACACGGAGGTCGGGAAAGACACAGATGCCGCGAAAGACAAAGACACGGGGGTCGGGAAAGACAAAGACACGGGGGTTGGGAAAGACACAGGTGCCGCGAAAGACAAAGACATGGGGGTCGGGAAAGACACTGGGGTCGGGAAAGACAAAGACACGGGGGTCGGGAAAGACAAAGACACGGGGGTCGGGAAAGACAAAGACACGGGGGTCGGGAAAGACAAAGACACGGGGGTCGGGAAAGACAAAGACACGGGGGTCGGGAAAGACACAGATGCCGCGAAAGACGAAGACACGGGGGTCGGGAAAGACAAAGACACGGGGGTCGGGAAAGACACAGATGCCGCGAAAGACGAAGACACGGGGGTCGGGAAAGACAAAGACACGGGGGTCGGGAAAGACACAGATGCCGCGAAAGACGAAGACACGGGGGTCGGGAAAGACAAAGACACGGGGGTCGGGAAAGACACAGATGCCGCGAAAGACGAAGACACAGGTGCCGCGAAAGACAAAGACACGGGGGTAGGGAAAGACACTGGGGTCGGGAAAGACAAAGACACGGGGGTCGGGAAAGACAAAGACACGGGGGTCGGGAAAGACAAAGACACGGGGGTCGGGAAAGACAAAGGCACGGGGGTCGGGAAAGGCAAATGGGACCGGAAAGCCAAATGGGGCGGGAAAGACACGAGCGTCGGGAAACCCAAGTGGGACTGGGAAACCAAATGGGGCAGGAGAGGCAAATGGGGCGGGAAAGACACGGGCGTCGGGAAAGGCAAGTGGGACTGGGAAACCAAATGGGGCAGGAGAGGTAAATGGGACTGGGAAGGCAAAGGCCCGGGAGACGGGAAAGGCAAATGGGCCAGGAAATGGAAATTGGGCGGGTAGGGAAAGGGACCTCAGACCGGCATGTGAGGCGTCCTCGGCCTTGATGTCCGAGGACGACGTGGAGCGCCTCATCGAGCCAGGCGCCATCTTCAAGAAGGTGTCCGATGAACACCTGGAACGCAGCCTCCACATCGAGTGTCCTATACAAGGGTTCTGGATAGCCAGGATCTCAGGTCGCTGCTGAGCTCCCAGGACCTGAGCGTCGACGGGGTTCTCATCGGCCTCCCACTGAGTGCGTTATAGCTGGATCATATTATCATATTTTTTTGTTTTACACAACTACCACACCGTCACTCACACTGTCGCTACTGTGATTGAATCATTGTTAATAGTTGAGTCAATCCTACACGGCTGAAAATTGGATGCCTGACAGTAAAACATCTTGAACAAAATATAGCAACACAACCAAACTCACCCAGAACTTGGAGACACTCCCCTGAGGAAATTTCCTGCTTATACTTTCTGTCTGTCTGTCTTTCTGCCTGTCTGTCTCTTTCTCTCTCTCTCTCTCTCTCTCTCTCTCTCTCTCTCTCTCTCTCTCTGTGTCTGACTTCATGAATAAAATGAGGTCAGGTTAGGTTAGATTAGGATCTCAGTCGAATAGATAGTGTAATCAGTCCCTGTATTCACGTTGACTGGTTGGGGCATTCGGTGTGGAGTGAGCTGTTTGGTCTTGTAAATGGTGAAATGTACCTGAGCTGAAGCTGTTGGTTGATAATTGATTGGGTGTTAGGTATGCAATGTTGCGGCTATGTCAAATCCGCTAATTATGTTGTATGGATGTGTGTGAGAGGGGAGAGGTGTCTGGGGTTGTGGGTCGAGTTGTGGGGTTCCAGCCGTGTTGGTGTCCAGGTGTGTGGGGGTCCAGGTGTGTGGGGGGTCCAGGTGTGGGTGGGTGCAGGTGTCTGTGATGGTCCAGGTGTGCCACAGCTTCCGACAACTACCACCGTTAATAATTATTAAATTTTCTTACTTAACCCATTATTAAACTATTACGCTATTGATATAATTATTGGTAATGACATAGGTGCTAACATTTCGAATATTATTTGAATTATTATAATAAGCTATATATTTTTAAATATTTTCTCTCTTTCTCTCTCTCTCTCTCTCTCTCTCTCTCTCTCTCTCTCTCTCTCTCTCTCTCTCTCTCTCTCTCTCTCTCTCTCTCTCTCTCTCTCTCTCTCTCTCTCTCTCTCTCTCTCTCTCTCTTGAGAGAGAGAGAAAGGTTGAGATGGGGAAGGAGAGAGAGGCGGTTGAGATGGGGAAGGAACGCGATATTCAAGCTTACCTTCCCTTCTATTTCTCACATTCTTAAATTGCCTCTATTTCTCAACCTTTTATTTTTATTTGATTTAAACTGCCATTCTCCTCTTCAGGGACAATGAATTGACGATCAAAATAGAGATATAATGAAATAAATAATAACAATGTGAGTTAATATGACACTCATTATGTTTGTTTACAATGTGTGTGTGTGCTTGAGATGGTATCAGTAACGAGGGAAACTGTGTGCTGGAGACGGTATCGTGCCCTCCAGAATACCATTAAATCGTAAAGGAAGCAGACTCGTGAAGCATGTTAAACGCTGTGGTGCTTCAGTCTGTGAGTCTCTGCTTCTTTTCTTCTCTCTTTCTCTCTTATCTAGTTTATGTCCTCTTTTTTGTATTATTATTGGTTTTCTTCTGAATTTATAATATGCCTTCTGTCCGTGAATGGGTTTCGTCTCTCGTCCTCTTGTAATGCTTCCATTTTATGTCTGTGTTTGTTCATCTTTAGCCACGCTATTATCTTCTTCTTCTCTGTCTTTCCCTCTCTCTCTCACTCTCTCTCTCTCTCTCTCTCTCTCTCTCTCTCTCTCTCTCTCTCTCTCTCTCTCTCTCTCTTTCTCTCTCTCTCTCTAAGGTAGGGTAGATAAAGACAGGCTATATAATACAAGGGGCACACGCACTATGGGACAAAGATGGAAACTGAGTTCTCAAATTAGCCACAGAGATATTTGAAAGAACTTTTTTCAGAGTCAGAGTGGTTGACAAATGGAATGCATTAGGCAGTGATGTGGTGGAGGCTGACTCCATACACAGTTTTAAATGTAGATATGATAGAGCCCAGTAGACTCAGGAATCTGTACACCAGTTGATTGACAGTTGAGAGGCGGGACCAAGGAGCCAGAGCTCAACCCCCGCAAGCACAAGTAGGTGAGTACACACACACACACACACACACACACACACACACACACACACACACACACACACACACACACACACACACACACACACACACACACACACACACACACACATCTGGACAACCCGTAAAATATCAGGGTGCAGCCACATGTTGATGACGACATTTCCGGCACCTCCACCCAAGCAGCGCCTGCTGCAGGGGAGAACTGACGCGGTCTCGGATTTTAGGGCAAATGTTTTTACTCTCCCGTTGTCAAGAGTTCACACCCTAAATGCTGGGAAAGTGGGGCTGGAATCCTGCTGGCTACCTCGCTGGTGCCCTAAGGAGGGTCAAGGGATGGTTTGGGTATTACTGGGTGGCAGAATTAGTCGCCATTTATATTTTGACCATCACATTTCTAACTAAAATTGTTGGTAGAAAATTACATTAGAAATGGAGTTCCCGAGATATTAGGTTCGTTTTAATGCGCTGTAATTTTTATATCAATATTGTAATATGATGTCAGTCATATTAGATAGTAGAGGGGATGTAAATGGAGAAGCGAGTGTGCGCCCGAGCGCCCGCCCGCCCGAGCGCGGGCGGGCGCTCGGGCGCACACTCGCTTCTCCATTTACATCCCCTCTCTCCTCTTCCTCTTTTCCCCTCCTTAATCTAAATCATTACCTTCATATCTTTTCCTCTCTCTCTCTCTCTCTCTCCTCTCTCTCTCTCTCTCTCTCTCTCTCTCTCTATGTACGTATACTACAAATATATATTTTATATGTATGTGGTATATGTGAACAACTGGCCCCATAAGGGATTTAACCTTTTATCTATGCATATAGCTATTACGTCGAGCAAGCTCACAAGGCGTTTGGAGGTGACCTGTCACCTCCAAACAGGAGCCTCTAAATATCCCATGAGATAAGCGAATGACCTCACCCTAACCAAAGAATTACTGAATAAAAACACCAGAATATTAGACAAAGCCCAAGAGGTTAGAAGATTACAAATTCTTGAAGCCCTACTTAATAAAAAAACAGAACACATCATAAAGAAGTAACAAAATCATTTACCCAACCACTTCGGCTGGACGGTAGAGCGACGGTCTCGCTTTATGCAGGTCGGCTTTAGATCCCCGACTCTCCAAGTGGTTGAACACCATTCCTTTTCTCCGCCCCATCCCAACTTCTTATCCTGACTCCTTCCCAGTACTATATAGTCGTGATGGCTTGGAGATTTTCCCCTGCTAGTTCCCTTCCCTTCCACCATGAGCATGAGAGGAAGACCTGAAAGAAAACAAGCTAACGATGAGGACATTGCCCTAAACGCAGTGACCACTACAGTCACCTGGGGGCCAAATTTACGAAGCAGTTACGAAAGCACTTACGAACCTGTACATAATTTCTCAATCTTTGGCGGTTTTGTTTACAATTATTAAAAAGTTAATGAGCTCCGAAGCCAAAGGAGGCTGTTTATAGCAATAACAACAGTTGATTGGCAAGATTTCATGCTTGTAAACTGTTTAATAAATGTAACCGAAGCCGACAAAGATTGATGAGTGTACACGTTCGTAAGTACTGACGTAACTGCTACGTGAATCTGGCCCCTGAGCTATCTATTACCTGACAAAACTATGTGCTAAGTACTGCTCGTTTCCCCCCTGGCCCACCCTCTCACTTCCTCCTAATATGCTTGCTTCTATTTACTTCAATACCTGACATAATTTTGCGTGCAACCGACTGTTTTTATATATATTCAGAAGCTTCCTCAGGTCTTGTGGTTGCTCACGTGAGAAATGAACCTTGAAGGTTCGAAACGTTGTGTAAATTGTAATAGGAATAATGCATATGCATAATACATTTGCAGTTAGATTTTGCGCTAACATTCGTCAACCTTGAACAACCAATGACTTTCGGAGACGTCCTCTTCGAAGTAAAACAAGATGAAAGAGCATTAACTAGTTAGTGGAATGGAAACCCCTAAACAGGAAAATAATGAAGACGGAATATGTAGTCATATTCAATGGAACATATGCACACACACACACACACACACACACACAACACACACACACACACACACACACACACACACACACACACACACACACACACACACACACACACACCACACACACGCACGCACACACACACACACACACACACACACACACACACACACACACACACACACACACACACACACACACTACCAGGGGGGGGGGGTCTGGTAGCTGAGTGGACAGCGCGGAGGACACATAAGCTTGTGGCCCGGGTTCGATTCCCGGACCAGGCAGAAACAAATGGGCAGAGTTTCTTTCACCCTGATGCGCCTGTTACCTAGCAGTAAATAGGTACCTGGGAGTTAGACAGCTGTTACAGGCTGCTTCTTGTGTGTGTGTGTGTGTGGGGGGGGATTAGTTAATCGTTAGTAACAGTTGATTGATTGACAGGTGAGAGGCGGACCGAAAGAGCAGAGTTCCACCCTCGCAAGCACAACTGGGTGAATATAATTAGATAAATACACCCACTAGGGAAGGGGGAGATCCGGTATTGCCCGAGTCTATATTTCTGTCTCCCTTGTCTATCATGTTCCCTCTTTTTTCTCCTGCCCCCCCCGTCTCCCCTCATCTTCATCCCTGTCCCCCTCTCATCTTCACACCTCTCCGCTGTATGTATATATTTTCCCTTTCCCTATGTTCACTATAGCCATCTTGATTACTCACTGTCTTCACTGTAACCATCTTCC